AAGATTAATCAGATCTGTAGAGAGTTTATCTTTGTGCATGCACTTCTAAAAATATTCCATGGTCTTGGCTGCCGACGCAAGACAAAAAAAAAACTATTTTTTGCAAGAATAATTTTAGGTTATTATCGTCTTTCTTTTCGACGAGAAAAGTCATACAGTATTTAAGTGATCTTTCGTAATGTAGATTTAATATTAGAAATATACTTTAAATAACTGAAGTTAACGGATATTGATTTTAATAAATATTTTTTTTTATTTCCAAGCATCATCATCATCAACCTGCCCTTATCCCTATCGAAAGTCGGCACAGTAAGTACTACTACTCTATACATCTCTATCAGCCGTCATATCCGAATCTACCCCCTTCCTACGCATATCCTCTTTCACGCAGTCAATCCATACTTTTTTGGTCTTCATCTACCTTTGTAGCCATCCACATTCAATATCATTACATCATCATCCCTCCTCATAACATGTCCAAACCACGCTAATCTTTTACTCCTCAATTTCTCGATCACTTACGTTACTTTCAAACTTCCTCTACTATACACATTTTTAGATTTATCCTTTCTTGTCACACCACACATCCATCTTAGCATACGCATATACGCATTTTATTTCCAAGCAATTTTTATGAAATTGCTAAAATTCTAAGTATTATATATATTATGATACACTCCTTTCAGAATTTAATAAAAGGCCCTTATTTGTTAGGCTGGTTTAAATGGGGTCTATCGTGAATTAACATATTCATGTATTCACTCACAAAGGCGGGTTTACGACAAAAACTTATAAATTGTTTTTGCCGGAACGCCATTTGGCCCTTGACCTGATGTTTTTGCGATCCTTTCTTCGTTTTGATTGAACACTATAGGACTAATACAAATGATTATTAATACAAGTTTATAACTAAACTAGTAGTCGCCTGCAACTCCGTCCCTGTGGAATTATAAAAATAGTAGCCTATTTGTTCTTCCAGATTATAGTCTACATTTATGCCAAATTTCATTGAGATCCGTTCGGGTGTGCTGGAGATACTTTCAAACATCTATCCATCTAAACATTCGCATTTATAACATTAGTAAAATGATAGTTATAATTGGTGTAAAAACAGAAGTTTTTATAACACTCATGTGTCGCAACGGTTTGTTTACCATATGTCTAAGCTTGGTTCATGACTTTTTGGATATGTCAAAATCGACCAGCTCTTACTGCTAGAGCCATCTACTGATAAACAGGAGAACTTAATTGCGCACCTAATATTATTTTTATTATACAGCGGCAAAAGGACATGTAGTTTGTCACAAAATTATTAAAGTGTCCAAGACATTTGTAATAAAAAATTGTAGAGACATAAAATAAAAAAAAGATACTTTCCCAGTTTTTTACTCACCCATACAATATTATTTCCCCGAGAATGGATATATGACTTAAATTGAGTGATTATAATTCTAAGTTAAAACATATCTATATTGAGATTAAAACAAAAATCATACTAAATCCGTGAATCACTCAATCATTATTAGGGTCGGGCAATAATAGTTGAAAAACCAAAATTTATTCGAGCACGAAGTAAGGAGATTTATAACATTTTGCGACGGGCGGCGCCGACCCCGACTTTTCTACAGAATACATGAATATGGTAAAATGGAACGGTATTTTATCCTACGTTACTAACACACCAACGTTCCATGCACCATTTGACTAAATAGAAAATAACCTAATAATACAATAGGTGCGAGAGAGATAGAGAGAGAGAAAGAGATATGGTTATCACAACAAATGAACTAAAGTAAATTTCTAATCCATTTACCTTTAGTTAATTTTAATCGAATTTCTTTTAAGAATTAATAAAACGTACAACATTTAAGTAGAATACCATCGAACTTAAAACAAATACGTATGTGTAATGAATAGCAAACAGGGATGCCAACTTTAAAAAAAAAAACAGAAAACTGAAAATGAAAAAAATTACGAATAGAACGAATAGAAAAACCTACATTCACCGAGACCAATATTTATATGAAACTCATAACAGGCCCCACACCGCAAGTCCCTGATTCAAAACATGTTAGAGGGAATGAGAGGAAGGAATAACGCCGCCCATAAACAAAAAAATTAAAAAATACACTAAGTAAAGTTGAAGAGGTGACAACCCTAAAGTCAAAGCGTTCACAATGAGCACAGTCGGCATTTGCAATTGCACACTCACGATGCAATAAATTCCATCACGTGAGGAATGCCATGCAACCTCGCCAGGTGGCAGCAGCTCCTACGAGAACGATTTACATTGGTATGTCACCAGTTTACAAATCTATATTAAAACGGTATTTTTATAGTTATAAAGCACATATTATGCAGTTAATTACTTATGTAATACTGGCTGTTGTCAACTATTTCCTTTGTCAAGAATGTAAAAAAAATAAGTTATATTTCCGTGATATAATTAGCGCGCCATCTTTAAAATTTCAGAAAATAAATTAGACATCTTCGAACCACATTATTAACAACTTTAGAAACAAATTCAAAACAAGGCAGTATGTATAAAAATTCAAGGCGTGTCGCGAGTTCGGGAGGTTGTTTTTGGACGAGGTCCAAGTCTGTAATAAACTTTGGTTAGTATTCGAATCTCTTATATACTTCGTACTCGTGCGTTTTTGAATACTGAATTTAGAAATCTTATATTATATATACTCGTATTTGCCAATAATACATAGGTAAATATATCTTCAACAGTTTTAAAGTAAATATATACTACGCATCTAGTAAGATTGTGGAATTTAAATTCTAACAAACCCTTCTAACTATGTCATTCGTGGTTGTCGATGACAAGGACAAAGGAAAGGGATCAAAATAAAAAAAGGAAAAAATATTTGGTGCCGTTGTCTATGTGTAACCCTTAAAAATGACCTCTAGTCGAGTAAAAAGACATTTTGTTACTCAATTAACAATGTCATTTAATTAATAGAAAAAATTGAAAAAAAAACAAGAAGAACTGGCTGAAAAAGCGATGTTCTTTTTCCCCAAAAAAAAGTTCAAATCAGCACAAATTCCTAACGGATATTTGTTTTTAATCTGCACGGTAACGCCCTGCCGGCGCACATCGTGATTTCCTCGTTTTGTCGCACGTGAGAATGGCCCTTATTATTGTAAGAGGTTCGTTTGAGAATCTTTATTTCCTACTGTAACGTACCGAACTTCGCAAAATTGTGTAAAATTACTTCTTATAGACTACTTTATAATGTTATTAATTCAGTTCATAATTTCACGAAAATTATTGTAATATTACGAGAAACAGTCCTTTATTTTATTAATAATTGTATATTTACTATTGAAATTTTGAGAACTAATTCACAATATAACCTCAAATTTAATATTTCCTACCAAGAAAGTTATATTTTAAATAATATATTGAACACTATATAAAAAGATTTATACAGTGTTTTATATATTATATTATTTAGTTTTAGTCGAGGCCTAACTATGTTTGTTCGGGGAACATAACATTGCATAATAAACGTCCAACCACTTCGCAGTCGGAATACGTAATGCTGTTGTATGAACGTGCGCTGCGCAACTGTGCCTCATTTACTTATTTATTATTATTTTTATTAAGTGAAAAGATAGCACCTGATATTTAAAGAAATAGAAAGATATCTATGTTCCAAGTCCACGACTTAATAATAAACGCGCCTGCACAAACGTCATGGCAAATATTTCTTTATACAGTAGAGGTCGTTACGCTGCACGCAATGAATATTTGCTAAGGCGGCGCAGGCGTTGGAACCAACAAAACCGTTGAAACATAAGAAACCGTGATTAGACTACACTTTTAGCAAGGCAGCTTAATACTGTTGGATAGAAACTAAAATAATCTACCATTTTGTTAATAAATTATTAAAAAAACAGATAAGGAGGTTAATAAAACATAGATGATATCTTAATTTTTTATTCAGGTCTTAATTAAATAACAGATAACACTATAAAATGCCGGATCTTGGACCATTTGCTTAATAAAGTAAAAAGATCGTTAAACATTTTTCCTTTATATTAATGTAAAATTGTAAGGTTCACTTCTTACTTTACTGCTCCAATTAGATGGAGTCACTTTTATACTACGTGAGGGCGCGACAGATAATAAAAATTATAAATGGCGCGGACGCGGTGCACTTACTTCCCCGTGAAATGAAAACTTTAAAAGATAATAGGAATTTTAATAAGCTAAGTAAAGCTTGTGGATTAATTTTATTAAGAGTAACGAATTCTTCAAAGGTGCTATATTGCAAAAGCAAATAGGTTATTTGCTTGTAATAATAAGTGTCGGATTGAATAGATTTTGGTAAACGTATTTAATCAAAAGTTTACGGCTCGTTAAATAGTCATTAAATAAAAGGGGATTTCAAAGATTGAGTACATTTGTCTCGCATCGAAACCCACGATATAATTCCGTCTCTCTTTACCGTTTTTTTTAGTTCTTAAAAAATTAAACAATGTTTGATATTCGATATTAAAATTAAAAACTATTTTAACAACGATCACGTATAATAAAATCTTAGATTGTAATTCATATTATCTTAGTAATAATTTAAAGGAACGGCCTTTCCTAGAAAATCCATTAAATTTATCTACATGTAAGAATCAAAGTCAGATTGCAGAGGCCATAAATTTCCGGGACGTGGCCGGTCACATTTTATGAAGGATTAGGTTGAAAAAGGGAACGAGTTACAAGTTTTTCGCCGATAAAGATATTGTTTCAAAATGTTACAGCAATTATGAATCGATTTAAGCTAATTTTCATGAAAATACGTATACCGAGAGAGGTGTCAGGACCGCAGCAAATGGATGTCCGTGATCTCTGCCTACCCCTCTGTGTTACGGGCGTGATTATGTTGTTGTGTACATTGTTAAAAACTTGTCTATTTTCTACCATTGCTAACAGTGACCTTGGCATATGAATTTATTTTTATTTCAGAATTAGGTAAATTAAAATACAATTTAAATTATCAAAACCATTTTTTTTATATCATTCTCCGTCGTCAAAAACAATTTTTTTACCTTCAAAAGGTAAAATACCTGATTTCCGTTTCTTTGCCTCCCATGAAGGATGTAATTTTTCAACTTTTTCAGTTTCCTGTTTTTCTTCATCATTAAATTTCTTATTCTTATAATTATTATTACTAAAGCGATCATTTGAGTTTGATAAATCTTTAAATTTCCTATTCTCTTGTTTGAAATCATTTCTCCTCGGTTTTGGTACATGTCCAAACATGACAGCTCTTCTATATTGTCTATTCCCTTGTTTATGTATTTCTTTCACTTCATCAGGTTGTCTTGGTTCAACAACTGACATGTAACTTTCTCCCGTTGTTGTTATAAAGAAAGGGTCAGCCATTTTTATTTCTTCCGCTGGTTTTTCATCAATAACTTTATTGAACTTCCTTTTAAGTATCTTTTCATTGAAATTTTTATTCTTATTAATATCTTTTTTCTTTTTATTTACTTCTTTTGGCAAATTTTTAGGTTTTTCTATAGATTTATTACGTAATTTCTCTTTATTTAAGTCTTTATTTACATTTATACTAACTACATTGCTATCATTCAAATTGTTTATAACTTCTTTCTTTTGTGAAATATTTTTTCTTTCAATTTTTTTATTTTTTCTTTCTTCCATTTCTGAATCTGAATTGTCTACGTCCTTATCTACTTGAGAGTTGTTACCATTTTCAATTTGTTCAGATTCACTAGCTAATATTTCATCATCACTATCTGAGCCATCATCATCACCTGGTTTGTCACTACTTGACTCATCCTCTTTGCCCTGTTCACTGTCACTTTCTTGTCCATTATCACTTTGCTCATCTCCAAGTCCTTTACCTTGTATGTTTGCTTCAACTGCATCATCTTTATTTTCTATCTCTTCTACATCCCAATCACCTTCAATATTAACTAATTTCTTTGCCTCTTTTTCTTTTTTCTTATTCTTCTGCTTCTCTCTAGCTTCCTTCTTCATCTTTCTTCTTTCTAACCTTGACATGAAGAGATCATTTATTGACGTATTACCAAATGTTTCTCTTATATATTTATGCTTTTCATGCAAACTTTTGTGCAGTATTAATCTAGCACATGCCTTATTATGATCTACTTCTGGTTTATTTAAATATTTTGCAAGCTCTCCGTCATATGTGACTATGAATTTTGCAATATCCTTTGCTTTTATTTTCTGAAAAATGCAAAAGATTTATGTTAATCTTACTAATTATAAATGCGAATGTTTAGATTGGTGGTTCCCAAACTTATTTTGTCTACTGCCCACTTTGAGAACAAATATTTTTTAGCGATCCCATATTAGAGTTTAAGCAATCTTTTAATTCATATTAGTTGATGTTCACAAGTTGTTGAGAGTCGAGAGCTCATGCAGTCGTTGTCTAAGAGGCCTCCTAGCTAAATTAAATTACAAATCACCCCCAGGCCTCTACACAACAGCCCCAATTTCTCTGGGTCTCTTACCTTGACACCTGCAGCGCCCACAAGGGGGCGTTATCGCCCACTTTGGGAAAGTCTGGTTTAGATGGATGGATACATGTATGGATGTTTGTAAGAAGAAATCTCAATATTGCCTAATGAATCTGCTGAAATTTGACATAGATATAGAAAATAGAACCTAGTCTGGAAATATACATAGGCTACTAATTAATTTGCTATTTGTCATAGTTAGTTTTATCACAAAATATATAAAACCTACATAGATATATGAAAAAAACATGACAATGACAACTGTTTCTATTCTTATCAAAGAGTCTGAGAGTGATGACAATAAGTACATGTATTTCCACATTGAAAACTCATTGTAAGCAAACATAATTACCTTAATAATCAAAACTTCTTTAACAGCAGACTCCGCTTTCTTAGTTAGTTTTTCTTTTAAATGTTCTGGTGCCTTCTTTTCTGCTAATGTTTTTGCTTTACGTGTAAGCTTGTGTATAATTTGTATTTTCGCTTGGGTTAAATTTCTTTTCATTTGGATAATCTGAAACATATAAAAGTGATTATAAATAAACAAAAGCTTATAGGTTATAAAGTTTGATTCACGTGTAATATTCACTTTAGTACTAATCACAAATACAGGATTACTTAAATCACATAAATGGGGTACTAACCTCATTATTAAATGCTTGCTTAACTGCACCAACCTCCATTTTTACTCAAAATCGTGTAAAATAAATATTAGTAAGGTTATATCCTAACGCACAACGTTTGGCGATGTCTATGTCAATAAAGTTTTATAAAAATTACGATATTTTTCCACAGAAAGCTAACATCCTTATTATTGGCTTTATATTGATTGATTAGTTGTTAATAAGTTTTATAGAATTAAACTTAAACACGGACACAAACAGAAACAAGACATACGGAAACGTCAAGCGTCAAGTCATTTGTCAATGTAATGTCAAATGTTTTTTTTTAGTACAGGGAAATTCGGATGTTTTGATTAGTTTTTAACGACAACTTTCTTATTTTCTCGTCGTGACTTTGCTCATGATCAGGTCAATGTGCATACTTAAATAGTTCATATTCACATACACATTTTATACCTAACAATAAGTAATAAATTAATTGTATAACATCTGTATTATTTAATCTACATTGCAAGCAAACTTGTCATTGTCAAAAGGACATAACCAATAATTTCTCTTTGGATTTATCTGTCAAACAGTCATGTACGTGAAGAATTATATTATTTCAATTTATCTAAATAATCTTTAATTTTTAATAGTAAATGAATGAAAATAAAGTGCTAAATATTACTCAGTGAATTATATAAGTGTTTATTTTGTGTTGAAACTTACAAGTTGCTTATTTTCAGCATGGCACCGCGATTCGAGATCGCAGTTGGTCTGCGAAAAGGCCACAAAACAACTAAAATATCTGCGGGAAAGAAGGGCATTACAGATAAAGCGATCAGGATAAGGCCAGCAAGACTAAAGGGTGTAAGTTAATCAAATTTCATTTGGTAAATCCTTAATATTTAAAAATGTATTACATTTGTCAAAACATTGTTCTCCGGTTCATTGTAGAACCATTTTGTGTTATTTAAAACGAAACAAGGATTTTAATTCAAATAGCGGAGTTTAAATTCAAAATGGGAAGCGTTGTCTATTTAATATAAATACACAGGTATATTTTGAAACAATAAAAACACGAAGTTATTAACCTTTTATACGCATAATTTGGTAACTAATAATCAATACTCTGACAAATTGGTTGAATAATTAGTGATTTCTAAGGAAAGAGTGACAAATGTGCATAAAGGGATGAGATAACATGAAAACTCACTAGTAGACATCTATTTTTTTTTCTTTCATGTAGATATTAAAGAACAAATGCTCCGTTGATCAAATAAAAATGATTATTAGCTAAGTAAACTAAATATCATAATTATATTTTTATGTTTCTTATTACAGCTGCAAACAAAACACTCAAAGTTTGTGCGAGACTTGGTTCGTGAGGTTGTAGGACATGCACAGTATGAAAAGAGGGCTATGGAGTTGCTCAAGGTATGTATATTATTGGTTATCTAAATTGAAACTTAAATAAATTAAAGAGAAAACTATTTAACATGTTTGTATCCATGATCATACAATGTAGATTTTTTTAAATGGTGTACTATTATATTTTTGGTGTGATTTTATTTCTATATAATATTGGTGCCTTTGACAATTCTTGACAAGTCTTAAAATGCTATACAAAGTCAAAACATTTGCTGATGGAAATCTTATGAACTATGCAACATCTATAATAATTTATGCAACAATAAAGGTTATATTTCTTAATTCATCTTAGATGTAACCTTTTTCACAAATGTTAATTGTTGTAAGAATCCCATGCTTACCAACTTCATGTAATTAGTCCTTGCTTGGATTGAAACCAGAACCGCTGTAAATAATTGAAGATCTGCAAATCAGCCCACAGATTACTTCAATTCATACCTTTATAAAGTTTTGATTTGTGTTTCAAGCTGCGAACTGTAAGTCACCAGGCAGCTCTTGGCTTATATTAGTTATAGTATAGTGCATTGAGTTGTCAATTTAAATGTTAAATTTCAGCCCAATGGTTTAAGTATATATGGACAGCCTTTTATCCAGTTCAGAGTAGATTTACATGTAATGAATGTCAAACGCGTATTTTAACACACATTTTGTACTAGATTCATCACAGTTTTCTTAAATACTATTAGTTCACAATTAGCAACAGAGACTTATCTCCAAACTGAGCACAACTGACACTTCGATTGTTCACTTTTATACGGGTTTTTCAATTATTGTTGGAAGAGCTAACAAACGCGATGTATACAGAGTGACAACCGGATGGAATACTATATATGGAATATATATGTGGCTACTATACTGTCAGTCTTTCAACAATAACAATGTCCACAGGTGTCAAAGGACAAGCGTGCACTCAAGTTCTTGAAGCGTCGCCTGGGCACCCACATCCGTGCCAAGAGGAAGCGTGAAGAGATGAGCAATGTCCTCACCCAGATGCGTAAAGCAGCCGCACAGGCCCACCACACAACCACACATACTAAGTAAACAATAAAACTTAGCTTTTATATGGTATTTTTATTTATTTACACAATCCAAGTGTAATCCAAGTTTCAAATTAATTTCTAAACTTTTTGACCGCATTGTTTATGCTAAAATTTATTAATTGTTTTCTACTAATATTATAAATGCAAATGTTAGGATGGATGTTAGTTTGAAGGTATCTCAACGGATCTTGATGCATTTTGGTACAGATGGCAGATGTAGAACATAGTCTGGAAGAACAAATAGGCTACTCCTTAACTTTTTTTTTTATTCCACGCGGACGGAGTCGCCCGCGACTGCTATTACTTTATACGAGCATACATATTCTTTTCCATTTCCTCACAATAGAATTATTTTAAACAAAAATGTTAAATTACCTGCTTTTTTTATAGATTTAAAATAAATTTTTATTCTGCTCAAAACTTAAAATAGCTTATGATTGGTTTGAAAAAAGTATTTTTGCTGTATTATATTTTAATAATTTTAGACATTATTGGTTAGAATCATTTGGCGCGAATGGCGCGCTTTCGTTTCAAAGTGAAGTGTCAGAATTATTAGTGAGGGGACACAAACGTCGACATTTTAGTAAGGCTAGTGTTGTGCCAATACACCGGCACAGTGTCGGATTTTCTTCCTATCAGTAACTTTGTAGTAACGCTAACTTGTGTTCACTATTTGGAAAAGATTTCTGCATAATTTACCCCTACTCGCATATCAAAGAGCAATGGGTTATCGAATTACGTCAATAAATATTAGATCTTGTTTATTGAACTTTCATTTGGACTTAGTTCTTACGTAGGACTTGTATACGTAGTTCCAAAACAAAATTGACTTAAAATCTCGATTTAAAATTATTTCTGCACAAAAATCTGAGAGATAAAGTTTTAACGATCTAACTGTTGTACTCGGTTACTAAGGAGTTTTTGGTGGAGATTTTTCAGTCTAAATCTAAGCTAAGGAATATAACGGTAAAATAAACAAAGTTTAATTGAGCTTCAAATAACTGTAGAATTATTTATTTATTGGTGTAAACAAGTAGTTAAAAATAGTTTCAAATATGACCTTAACCTCAAAATAGGCCACGTATTGTGACGAATGACATATTTACAGTGCATAGAAAATGCAAAAAAAAAACTATATAATCGTTTGATTGGTATCAAATGACATTGTTTGGAATTTTTAAATAATTTGCCGAATAAATTATACGTACCTAAAACTTTAGAAGCTTACTGATTTTTTAAGGTTACTGATTTTTTGCTATACAACTTTAATTTTAGTGTCGTGTGTACACAAACATTTACCTTCATAATTTGATTGTTTACGAAATATAAGATACTTAGCAATATAAGATACTTTACAATATTTTTTTATTTTAGTTAACGGAAAGTAAATATTGTCAGATATACAGCGATAAAGATGAACGATCGCTCACACGATCAAAATATTACGACATGCTTTATCATTAGAACAGCAAAAAGATCCGTAACAAAACTGTAAGGCAGAAATGATTTTAAATGTGTCTTTGGGGTTTGATTTTAGTGGCTCTTAGACTAGGCCAGTCCACCAACAAAAGTGACAATGTTTTTATAATATATATATTTTAAATTAACAAATATAAAACATCTGTTCATTCCTTCCTGAATAATATCGTATCAATTCGTATTATTTTTATGTTCTCAAGGCCACCATGAGTTAGTTTTTTTTAACCTGTTTATATTTACGAAGTATAAAGTACGCTTTATTAGGCGGTGCTGTCAAGGTCGTTTGATTACGCACATTATATCCCGAAGATCATGTTTACATTAACATATATGTAAACAGATTGATCTCAGATATCAATAACTACGTACTATTTTATATTGGCCGGTATATTATCTGCTTGGCACAAAATAGGCATACTTGGTTCGATATCTACTATAGTACCTACCATCCAAACTAAGCTCTCAATTTCGCACAAAATCGTCTAAATAAATACTATATCACCAAGTCAACTTTCGCATACAGAGGGTCGAGAAGTTATCTCAAACTTTGGGAATTGTTTAACGAAAATAAATTTCTTAACAACTACTATAGTGTTGGTAATATTTTCTCGTATTACAGCCTAAGCATTATTTATCGAAGTATTTCTAGAACATATTTTACTATAGACATGTGTAATCAAATTATAGATTGTCGAAGTTTACCATTGATCGGTGACTTAGTTATATTATTGGTATCAAAGATGCGGTATTGTTTTCTTTACTCGTATGACGACAAGACAGGCCCACAAACAAACAATTTACATCAGACGCGACCCGGGGTCAAGTATCTTGATAACACTGATGTAACAAAACTTGTGATAAACATACACAAGAAATGTCACTGTGCCTTTAATAAGTTTATTTATACTAACAGTTGCCTGCGACTTCGTCTGCGCGGTATTAAAAAGTAGTAATTTTATGTCACCCGGGAATAATTTAGCTTTCGATCAGTAAAAGAAACTTTAAATCAATATATAATATATAGAGCTTAATGACATAACAAAGAGAAGCAAGCGTTTAACCTACGCGTGTGCACGCATAGACGCATAGAAACGTGGATGATAGAGGTCAGTATCGCGCCATATACCAATTTGTTACTTATGCCTACTCTTGTCGTTTACGGGCGTGAGTAATATAGTTGTATTCATAAGTTTATATTAAATATTACAGTGACATTCGGACTTGAGGTAAATGAAAACAGTAAATATGTTAACTGTTTTGTAATTTAGAATTAATTTGTGCACTTCAGTATCAAGCCGTCGAATGCCGAGACACTTCCGCACCATTAAATTTGTATAGACTTTTTTTATACATTCGTTACTATTTTTGATGTGGCCACAGATCATCTGGAGAGCTGCCACGTGTTTGTTGCTTTTTTTACTTATTAATGACAGATGTTCGTATGATTCGATCAATTAATTGGTGTATAAAAATTAATTAATCATGTAATACTATTAATATGTTTAAGTTTTATTTGTTATGCTAGTGACGCTGCCCGACTTTACACGGCAGGAAATCACTAATTAATCCTTTTTCTATAAAAAAATTATGAAATAAAAAAAAGGTCAATGTTACTTCTTGCTAGTATTATAAATACGAATGTTAAGATGGATGTTTAGATGTTTGTTTGAAATATCTCCAGAACGACTGAACGGATCTCCATTGAACATGAAATTTTGCATACATAGAACATAGTCTGGAATAACATATAGACTATACTAATTATGTTTTTTTTTTTTAATTCCGCACAGACTGAGCCACGGGCGACAGCTAGTTGTGTCTTATTTGTTACGCTAGTGACGCGCCCTGATATTGGATGCACAGAAAACAACTAACTTTTTCCTGTAGAAATTTAATAAAAAATAAGGTCAATAACATAGTAATTAACAATTACATTGTCTTTTAAGTTGGTTCAAATAACACGTAGTTACAAAACTTAATCATGTTTGGTTCGGTAGTTTTTGAGTTTATGCTGGAGTTTATTTATTTACGATGTCGTTTAACATGCTTTTTTTGAACAATACACAGTTTTAGGGAAAATAAATAAAAGAAGAAAAATCAAAGAGAATTGCAATTCGCTTTTTTATTACCTAAATATTCTCGAATAATGGACCATATACACATTGGTACTACAAATTTAGAAAAATCTCTTTACAAATATCAGGCGCACAGCCAATGCATTAGAAACATTTTATAGCAAATTACATTACAAAAATGTTTAAATTCAACTGGATAATAAAAGATGTAATTGAGTAATAATTTGTCTTAGCTAGTTTCACTGGTAAGTTAATACTAACCATACTCAAGAAATGACAAAAAATTGTATAATTCCTTCAAAAAAAACCAGTAGACATCAATTAGTACCCAAGTAAACACATTCCATGTCACTAAGATTTTTCAGCATGAAATAGTTGCCGGAGTTGGCAGTGAATGTGTTAAAGATATTTTTTCAAAGCTATTTAAGCCTTATATATTTTGTTATGTAATTTTTTTAATCCATATTATGTTGTAAACACAAATTAATTAAAAATATTTTAATAACATATCTATTTATAAATCTAAATGTCTTTTGAATAATGAAATTTGTCAGTTATGAAAAAATATGCACTAAAACCTATGCATAAATGCAAATTAAAATGAAATGAAATCTTACCTTATATCAAGTTATTTGTCTCCTTTTTCCAATTAAAAAGTACTTAAAAACTCAAATATTTAGGAAAAATATATTTTTTTGAAATAATGTAAATGATTATTAAGATGCTAACCTTACATTTAACTTATGAGATTATATAAAATTAAACTTTAGAATTGCTAATAAAAAATGAAAATTAAAACTAACAAGTGACCTTATTGCAGCAAATTTTTTTTCCTGTAGTAACCAAGTTATGTTGCATTTAAACTAAGACTTTAGGTTCTTTATTAACAGACTGGATTTCTAAAGAAACATCAAAATGGTTTAACAAAGATTTTATGTTAATTTTATTAGAGCTCGCAATTATCTGCAGGTAAAATTTAAACCCATTTCAATTATGTATTCTTGAATATTGCCGTACAACAAAAACATTTTTGTTATAAAGTTGGTCAAATTCAACTAAATTTTTTAACATTAACATGGTGCATGCCATAAACAAGGTAAAAATTATATCCATACACAATCAAAAATATTGTCAGTGCTGGAAACTTAATAAATAACAAATTAAACTAATATGGAACATTAGAAAATAGATACGAGACAGATTCTCCATTATGAGTACGACGCACAGCTTCTGCTAACATCATAGAGACATCAATACACTGAATTTTAGGGCAGTCTTGCATGTGCCTTTCTTGTGGTATTGTGTTTGTTACCACTACAGCCTCCAGGCAGGCGTTATTGATGCGAGATATTGCAGGTCCCGAGAAAATACCATGAGTGAGAATGGCATACACCTTTATAGCACCAGCCTCTATCAATTTTTCCGCTGCATGGCAAATAGTTCCACATGTATCTGCCATATCATCAACCAATATAGCTGTACGGTCTTTCACATCACCAACTAATACCATTGAGGCAACTTCATTTGCTTTTTTTCTTTCCTTGTGAATAAGAGCAAACTCAACATTAAGTCTGTCAGCAATAGACGTCACTCTTTTCGCACCTCCAGCATCAGGAGACACGACAATACTCGTCTTCCAGTCTGGTATGTTCTCCTTGATCCATTTTAATACAGCGGGTTCAGCAAAGAGGTTATCAACAGGTATATCAAAGAAACCTTGGATCTGAGACGCGTGAAGGTCCATCGTTATAATATGATCGGCGCCGGAAACCGACAGAATATTGGCAACCAATTTAGCTGTTATAGGAGCCCTGCTTTTATCCTTCTTGTCCTGACGCGCGTATGGGAAACAAGGAATAACAGCGGTAACTCGCGACGCCGACGCAATTTTACAAGCGTTTATCATAATAAGTAGCTCCATTAAGTTGTCATTGATTTCACCGCTTCCACTTTGCACAATATAAACATCTTCACCTCGAACAGATTCACCTATTTCCACACACGTTTCCATGTTACTGAATTTTTTGGTTACCACCTTGCCGAGGTCGATGCCGAGTCGATCGACGATTTTCTGTGCTAAGTCAGGATGTGAGCTTCCACTGAATACTTTGATGTTCGGCATTCTGGTTGTTAGGGGTAACGCGAAGTGATCTAATTTATTCACTACTTCTTCAAGTGTAATAGTTGATTTCATCAGCACCGGACAACTGTACTCCGCTCTGTTGCCCGTAGTTAATACAGCTATACTGAGTTATTGAGATTCGAGATGAACTATTTATGTATTTAAAATGATAAGGAATAGTTATGACAACGTGGGGCTTGCCTTTTAATCAATTCAATACAATAATACGCCGCACACCACGGGGCCTTATAGCTTCAAAGAGCAGCAAAGCGAGTTTGCACGCACGTTTTATTATTTCGTTTTACAAAATGACAATACCGAATTACCATGACAGATTGAGAAAGGCCAAAATCCTAAAATCCTTAGGATCCGAGACCTCGCAGAAACTTGTAGGTTTTAATGGTAAAATAATAACTAAAAAAATACTGAACTCTCAATACTTTTTAAGTCGGGACGTATTCCATAAAATGTGTTTACATAAATAGTATAACACTGGATTATAAGAAACCTTATTATGTAAGCCATAAGTCCGCCGCTGTAAAATGATCCGAACAGGTTTGATTAAATTGTGTTCTTCTTTCTCAAGTAATCCAATGAATAGATGGAGACAAAGAATAATCCACTTTTGCAAGATATTTTTGTTAAATCCTTTACTATTTTTTATTGTTATGGAAATAGTGTCTAAAGTTTTTGGCAACAGTGCCTTTGCTTTTCGCTGAAAAAATGAGTGGAAGTAACTGTCAATGTCACATGACATGTTAAAAGTCATTGGTGCTGTCAAGTTTGTGCGCGAAAATGCGAAAGTAAATTTTAAGATGTGTTTTGAATTGTACGAAGAAATATAATCGTTAAACATAAGATTTACCATGTGAATTTCACAATTAATATAAAAATGGATAATCCAAAGAAAAAGTTAAAAGTAGATCGTTGCTTAGAATGGCTCAAGAAACAAAATGAACAAGAACCAAAAAAGTTGGCATTGCAGAATAAAAATGACATTCAGTTTATCATACAAACTAACGCTGATAGAAAGAATTTTCTCCTCGCCGCTGCTGAAGATGAGGCTACGTTGCCTTTGGCAGTAGACGACATTGAAACAGAACCTAAAGCAATTGTGAGTAAATGAATTACTTGTATTAAATACCACGATGTTGTTTATAGAATCCTTAGTCATAGTAATAAACTCTAATGTCATGGTTAAATTTATTTTTATTCTTTATATATATATGCTTTAATATTTTTTAAGCCTTTACGTGAATTACGACGATCTGGTTTGGTGTTAGAATGCGATTGGCTTTCGTGTCGCTGGAAGTTTACAGACTATGAGGAATTCCAAACACATGTTGCGAAACATGTTTCTGATCTGCATCTCATACCAGAAGAAGACAAATCTAGTGAGTATTGTGATCTGTTTTATGACATATTAATTTTACAATATTTTATGAATAAAAAAATATGGTTGACAAATGTCTTCTGTTTGATAGTGAAATTGTGATCAGGTTAGTTAGTTTAGCAAGTGTAAGGGCTTGATTTCAGCAACTCTAGATTTACTCCAGCCAGCCCAACTCTCCAAAGATTCCTAACAACCCTTTGATATTTTCGGTTATCTCCAGGAGTGTTCTTGGTGATCCAAGATGCTTTATGTTGGGTAGTGCAGGAATTTTCCCTAAATCACATAAAGAAAGACTTTAATAAATCATCTAACTATCAACAAATCATTTCCAATTTCTCTAGTGTTGCTGATTTCCTTGTGTGTTGAAGATGAATTCTGTCTTACCGTTGCCCATTTACATTTTTCTTTAACTGGCTAAAAAAAAAACTTAATAAGTAGTCTATGTGTTCTTTTACACTATGTTCTACATCTGTGCCAAATTGCATCAATATCTCAATAGATATACCTAGGTCAATACCTATTTCGGAGATAACGTCAAACAAACTATCCATCCAAACATTCACATTTATAATATTAGTAATATTACTTTTTGTAGTATGACATTTATCATACATTAACATCTATAATATAGATTTAAAATCTAAAATTGTAGAATATTTCTGCTCATGGGATACATGTGGACACAAGACTGTTGACTTATCAGAGATGGTCCGTCATATCAACTATCATGCATACCATGCAAAGCTCTTAGCTATTGGTTTAAACGGCAGAGCTACATTGAACCTGGCTGAGTGTAAGAAAGACTCCAGTAAGAGGAATCAATTGCCGAGTAATATTAGTGAACATCGCTGTTTATGGGTTGGTTGTACGAAGGCATATCAATCAATTGAGGTATGTATAATAAAACCCGCTTAATACGATCATCTTAGGATCATTGACATAATACGCCATTTTTAATTCGGTCCCTGCAACTTGAGATATGTTTTCATACATTTCTTAACACTTATACCGTCCTAATCGTGGTCGAACAGTGGTAGAGCCCGCTTTAACATCTTCGCACGAATTGGCCCGGTGACATACCACAACCACACAGAAGACAGGCGTGAAGTCGAAGCAATTCCTTTTTCTCATAAGGAAAGGATGGGAAGTGGAAGTGGACTTTGCGGATCAGAGGATGCATGAATTGAAAGGGAAAATATTTTCTCTCTGTGCATCCTCTCCTTCGTCGATTAAAGGTAGGCAGCGCATATGCAATTGCGTATGTCTATGGGCAACGGTCACTTCGCTATTTCAGCGATTTCAGGTGGCCGCTCGCTTGTTTGCCACCTTATGATATAAAAAAAAATCTTGTCTTAAGATGACTATTTATTTGGAGTATAAGAAATCTACACTGATTAAAGTTAAAGAACCCATTAATAACTAACTATGGGTTTTTGAGACCCAAATATCTTTATAAAACATATCTTCATCCCTGTCATTATATTTGACAGAACAGAAATAACAATATATTTGATACAAAGGCTTTGGTCTTAGAAACCCATGGTGAGTATTTGAAATATACTATTTAGAAGACATGACATGACCTTTTGTCTAATTCAAGTCAAAAATATATTTAAAATGAGTTCTTAAAGAAATATTGTCTATAGCCTGGCTTTACCCATGTGACTCAATTATAACAAGAGCCGGTACAAAATTTGTTTTGTCTATGGTTCAGGAATTCATCAAGCATGTCAAAGAGCATATAGACAACTCGAGAAATTTGTGTTCATGGGCCGGATGTGGTGCGACATTCACACGTCGTACGTTGTTCATAGCGCACGTACGTTCCCATACTGGAGAACGACTCATCGCTTGTTACCACTGCGGACAACACTTTGCCAATAATCGGAAACTTTGTGATCATATACGGAGACAGGTTGTTATGTTATTATTATTCAATCATCATCATTAGCTAACTATACGTCCCCACCGAGGGGCTCGGAGCCTACCCTAAGTTAAGGGTGATTAGGTCATATTCAACCACGCTGGCCAAGTGCGGGTTGGTTGACTTCACACATATCTTTGAATTTCTTCTCAGATATGTGCAGCATCACGATGTTTTCCTTCACCGTAAGATCGGATAAATGTACATATGTAAATCGGAAATTGAAAAACACATTGGCACATGACGGGATTCGAACCCAGGACCTGCAGATTACAAGTCAAGTGTTTGACCCCTAAGCCACCGACGCTTCATTATTCAATTATTTAGTCCAATTAAAAATATATGTTTGTTTATACAGTTGGATACGAGTCTAATCGATCACAAATTCTCGCTTCTAGAGGTTTCTCTAGTTGGCTTTTGGATGTCCTTTGGGACCGTAAAATGATTCTTACTTATACAGGTTCAACTGTATATATAAATCGAGTTTTTTCCTATACTTTAAAGGTGCGCGTTCATTGGCCCGCGTCGGACAGACGGTCTGCAACGGATTTTAGTTTATTTTGTATGATTTGAACGCAACGGATTATGAACGCAACGGTATGCCGTTGCGTTCATAATCCGCGTCGTCCGCATCAAAAGTCAAAGCAAATCCGTTTAGTCAGTGCGTGCGGTGCGTCCTATGCGGGCCAATGTTATTTTAGTCTAATAATTGGTTTCCGAGATCAAAAACTGTGTATAAAACATATTGTTAATTCTGTTATCAAAGATAAAAGGGATGACAATATGTATATGGAGATTTTGGTCTCAGAAATCAACTATAAGTAAAAATTTGTTAGAATGTGAACCCACAATCGAACATCCGCTGTGACTTCTGCGGTGTGTTTTGCGCTAGTGAGTATTTAAAGCGTGAACATGCGCGTCAACATGTGTCGTTGTTCGCGTGCTCTATGTGCGACATGACCGCGCCCACACTCTCTGCGCTTGCGCAACACGTACGCTACCGACATGTCGCCGCGCGCCCACACCCCTGCCCGCACTGTGAATACAGGTAACAAGCCCCCTGCCCACTGAAACTATTTGTAAACTTTCCCTTCCTTGTTTTAGAGATTATTAGTTAGAATCCTTTGGAAACGAAATCGCTTTCGGAATCGGATTCGAACCCCGACCTCGTGATCGGAAATCCGTATCCTTAACCATTAGACTATTGACGCTTCTAACTCCTGTCTTTTATATTATTATTTGTAACTAGATTTGTTTGTCCCAAAATATCTTTATCCATACAGGGCGATAACAAAACGTGATTTACGGAAACATATTCCGACTCACACTAGAAAAAAGAGAAAATTAAAAGGCGCAGATAAGTCTAGCGAAGCAGAATTATCTGATGAAGATTCTGATGAGGAAGTGAGTAAGAAACCTAAAGAGAAGAGGAAATATGTCTGTCATATGTGTCCGGAGAAGGAAAAGAAGATATTCTCCAGAGGGACTCGGCTGACTACACATCTAGTGAAAGTTCACGGAGCTCAGTGGCCGTGTGGTTATAGCCGGTTCAGGTACGTCAATTCAAATTCATCGACCTTCTTTATAATACTAATTCAAGATGGCCGCTGCCAGAAAATCGCAGATGATATGCATACTCCCCTGTCCCAACAAATCCTCTCCTCCGTCGATTAAAGGTAGGCAACGCATATGCAATTGCGTATGTTTATGGGCAACGGTCACTTCGCTATTTCAGCGATTTCAAGTGGCCGTTCGCTCGTTTGCCATCTTATGGTATGTCTACCAAACGTAAGGTCTTCACGAACAAAGTATAGTAGAAGTAGAGGCATATGAAAATGTAAAAAATGACAATTGTATAAAACTATGTCATCCGCCATTATGTGACGGCGGCCATTTTGGATGCGTCATAGTTATCTTTACTAGTCAAGCCTTTTCATTTGACATCCATGTTTTAGTGATGGATTAATGTCACCTGTTAATATATTCTGTAAATTAACTTTTTATTTAGGTATCAACTCAGTGAAGACGGTATGTACCGTTTGACGGAAACAAGATTCGAGGAGTTTGAATTGTCACAAAAAATAGTAGACGGGTACAGTGATCCAAAAAAATCTCTCACCGATTCCTATGATTTTGAAGTACAAAGAGTGTCCGAAGCTACGGCAACATCGCCCGTACATTTCGAGATACGATTAAAAAGTGATAAAAACAATCAACCAGATGAAACATCAGTTGAAATAACGATGTGTGATGTTGATGAACAAGGAAATATTATAAATTCTGAAGTTATAAAATCAGATGTGGTTTATACTTAACTACCTCTACCCGCGACTTCGCCTAATGTATATATTTATATCGAAATAACAGCCTATAAATAATTGAAGCTTCTAACTGAAAATATGATATACCCGTACTAATTTCCACCCCACTTTACCACAACTCCTTTTTCGCGTTAAAAAGACCATAACCTTTCCCAGGGTCTCTACCAAATTTCATTTAAATTAAGTACTTTTTACGTGAAAGTAGGACAGACAGATAGACAAAGTTACTTACGCGTTGATAATATTTTTAAGGATTTGACTTATGTTAGGATTTTATATAGAAAATATAAGCAGATTTTTTACTAATATTTCTTGTACCAAGCTCCATGCTTGTGCTACAGCATGGTTTACGATAATCTAATGACGGGATTCGAACCTCGACCTCATGATCGGAAATCCGTACCCTTAACCATTAGGCTATTGACGCTTTATCAAAAGGCAAAAGTGATTAGTTTTCAACATTTTTATAAGGTTTTTACTTTGAATTATAAGTTTTAATAGATTTACTGTATAGACTAGACATATAGACAAAACAAATTAATGCAATCATTTATATTAGGGAACATACCCATACTACTTGACCTATTTTTTTTAGTTTTTCGATCCCTCCCTCCCCTCGGTGACCACTCGTAGTACATGCCAAGACAAAAACTAAAGCTTTTAGTTTTTACGTAGTAATTCATAATTATGATTATTAATCATTTCACATGTAAAAATTGAAAAATAAATATTTTGGCTCATGCTCTTCTTAAAAGCATAAGACTGCATGCATTCTTAAATTACTAGTGAATTATGTATTATGAAAAAAAAAAAACAAATAACGACTACGTGACTAAAATCTGAGCCTCCCCCCCTCCTGTGACTGACCGTAGTATTTTAAAGACTCGCCCCCCCCCCAAACTGGTCACGTATGGGTACGTTCCCTTATAAGTATCGTAGACATATTTTTGTAATTTTCACATGCAAATATATTTTAATAATTTGTGATAATTTTATAAATAATATTGTATATTAATATAATAAAACAATTTGATTACAATTTTCAATAAATCGTTTTATTTCGTAATATTTTCATAGATATTTTGACAATGGCAAACCATAGTGAAACAGGGGGATAGACAAAATGAATGCGCTCCAAAGCAATTCCATTTACACTGATAAAAACATTGGATAAGTCACGTGATTGTCGCGCCTAACTTAAATACATTTATGAAGTTCGCTATGGAATCGCTTCGTTTGTTGCTGGTTTTTTTTTATCTATATCAAAATTACTATATAATTTATGGCACGTAAGTATATGTACTGGAGTTAAATCCTTCTTCGCCCATGCGCTCTCCTATCCAATCATAAAAGGCGGGAACTTTGACATAAATGCAAGGGGCGCCCTCTTCATGGATACGGAACGCGCTCATTCCATACAATACGTATCTTGTACTATCATCCTGGAAACAATTTAATATGTTAAATCTTACAATTATTCTTCACTGTATTGATACTGTCTACCAGCTGTCCCTCGCGACTTAATTAATGACCAGCGTCCTCTTTTAGACTATGTTCCACATCTATGTCAAATTTCAGCAAGATCCATGCAGCCGTTCTGGATATACTTTTTCAGAAACATCCATCTATTTACACTTCCAAACATTTGCATTTATAATATTAGTAAGGTAAGACAGTCCGACGTTACATTTGTGGAACCACCTGACATCTATAGTTTTAGACATTAAGTAGAATCAATTGGCGCGAATGACGTGATTTCGTTACAAAGTGAAGTGTCAGAATGATTAGTGAGGGGACATAAACGTCGACATTTTAGTAAGGCTAGTGTTGTGCCAGTACACCGGCACAGTGTCGGATTTTCTCAAACAGTTGGTAGTTATAAATTAGGCCTGTGCGCAGAATTTATTTGCACGTGTTACCTTAACGGGACAGACAAGTGGCGCCCCCAAGTCTCCCTTACAAGTATCATCAGCTGAGCCTGCGCAAGTGAGACTATCGTGTAATCGGTATATCTTTCCGAGTCTTGTTTTTCGCATTTTCGTTTCGCAATCATCAGCACTCAAAAGATTTACCGGTATCTGGGGAACAATATTTTATCTAATTAATTAGATGTATGGGCAATAAAACAATAATCTTTAACCAATAAGGTTTTACTGTTCACCAATTCATACCATAAAGGAATACATCGTGATATAATCTTTTGACGAAGAAATTCAAAGGTATGAGTAAGTCCCACTATCCGCTTTGAGCCAGTGTGCAACGTTTATAAGGCCAAAGCATCGCAATAAGGTTGGTTTAAGCCCATCATAAAAATCAAAACTATAACATTCGACACCAAAAAGTACCATTTAGTGCGGACTTAACGTGCAGTGAGAACGAGAACAGTAGTTGTGGTCTCCGAGTCAGAAAGATGGTAGACCCATATCATCAATCAACCCATGATCATTTCATGTAAGTCTGCCGAAATATTGGGAGATCAAACAACTTAATCGTGGTAAAAATCTCTTTTCTTAAGAATGTTATTATCACTAAAACTATGAAATGAAAGCCACAAAGACTATCTGACTTGAATGTCCACGGTTTCACCTTACCTTCTTTAGTATATCAGACTTTCCAGAGACAGCGGACATGCCCCATCCAGTGCCAAAGCACTTAGTTCCCGGCTCGGGTAGCGTTGGACCCACACACGCTACGCCCACGTGCGGCGCATCATTTAAATCGAAGGGTTGTTCCAGAAATACCATACTAATTGCATTATAAAACGAATCTGAAAAGTTTCAAATATATTTCATGGTAACATTTTGTAAAAGAAAAAGGAGTCTGTTTAAAGAAGGAAATGACCTATCGCTAAAATACAGACCCATAGACATCTGTAACACGGTAAAGAATTGCAAATGCGTTGCCTACTTTTAATCCGCAGTCAAGAGGATATACAGAAAAAGAACATTTTTTCCCTGTACATCTTCTAGCCCGTCAATTTCACTTGCACTTTCCGTTCATTCCTTATTAGTAAGACTAGCTGTCGTCTGCCTCCGTTCGCGCGAAATTAAGGAAAAGTTGATTAATAGTCTATGTGTTCTTACAAACTATGTTCTATACCTATGCCAAATTTCAGTGAGATCCTTGCTGCCGTTCTGGAGATAACTTCTAACAAACATCCATTCATCTATCTAAACATTCGCATTGTTTGTGATTCAATTGCATTGTGTGTACTTACCCTTAAAATAATCTTTATGGATAACAATTCTGCGTACGTTCCTTTCCTGATGGACATAGTCTTCATCTTCTGCGGTTTTGTGCCATTCACCCGCCCGGCATTTGATCTGTAAGAATTATAAATGCATTGCATGAAATACTAACTGTCGCCCCGTCTCCGTCTCTCCCGGAATTAAAAAAAAACATGATTGGTTTTAGACTTTATTAGTTAGAATCATTTGGTGCGAATGGCGCGCTTTCGTTACAAAGTCAAGTGTCAGAATGATTAGTGAGGGGACATAAACGTTGATGTTTTAATACGGCTAGTGTTGTGCCAGTACACCGGAACACAGAGTCAGATTTTCTCCTAATATTAGTAGCCTATGTATTCTTGCAGACTATGTTCTACATCTATGTCTTTCAGTGGTATTCGTTTAGCCATTCTGAAGATATCTTGTCACATTCATACTATTTATCACAACATTCGAAATTACGATATTCAGTTTACTTTAATTTATTTAAACACTGAATATAAATCTAAAGATTGTTGTTAATCTATAAATCTATATTGGTTATAAAATTTGTTTAATCATCTATATTTAATCTACTTTTCTTAGTTTTAATCATAAAAAATACATAACCTCATTTGGTTTTATTTTTTCAAGGCCATATGAGCTGGTGAGTACTACGGAGGTATGTATCAGAGTGCCGCCATTGAGGTAATCTTTGTCAGACCATTGAGTCGACGGCGTGTCCGATTTTCTGGGAAATAAAGAAACAAGATGTAATAATTTATATCATTGGTCGATTTGAATACGTCTTTGATCACAAATAATTTTATGCAGCCAACACCAATAACCTAATGGATCAAGCAATGAATTTTTTAATCTTGTAGTTGTGAGTTCGAATCCCGTCATTCAACTATTGTAGTCAAGCGACAAAAATCTTAGATCTTTATTTAAAAAAAAAAACTTAACATGCAGTTTTGATCTCATTTAAACACATTTGAGTAATCAGCGTGAAATGTAATAAGGTGGGTAAGGAATTAAGTTCCTTTACAATGATAAAAAAATAGAGCTTACTTAATAATTGCGACCATCCATGGATATTCACCAAAGTCAGCCAGCATTTCTCCGAAACGGAATACCAGACCGCTAGGATTGGTTACACCGCATTTTAAATTGGTTTCTGTTTCAAAAAATTAATAACTTAATATTGATTAAATTATTCTTAACTAGCTGTTATCCGCGATTCCGTCCGCGAGGAATAAAAAAAAACTTAATTATTAACCTATGTTTCCTTACAGACTATTCATTTCATCAAAATTCGTTCAGCGGTCCCGGAGATACCTTCAAACAAACATCCATCGATCTAAACATTCGCATTTATAATATTTAGTAAACTTATATGTCGCTATATCTAGTTCTACCTTAAACGTAAATACGTCTAAGACATCAGGCCGACACCGACTCGGAAATAACAATAATTATAAAGTATAGACACATTTCAAAAAAGAAAAGAAATTTATTACTTTCGGGGGTGTTTGTTCACGACATCATTTTGTTACTATTTAATGCATTTTGTTTAAGAATGTTTTTTGTTTTAGATTTTTTTTGTTTGAGTATGTTTTTTTTTTTTGCGAATGTTTTTTTAAATCCATAATTACATTTAAATGTGAGATTCCTATAAGGATGTATATGTACAATATGGTTTAAAGTAATTATGACACAGTGGAGTAAAAAACAGGAAAATAATAATCGCATCACTAGATCAAGCGACTCATTAACTCCAGTATAATGTAGATAAAATAAACTATGGACTACAAAAATTTTTAAAACCTATATCTACAAATTTAGGTATAACAGAGTATTATTATGTTACCTGTAGCTTTTTCTTCATTAGTTTTAGCAAATTGTATCTTATCTTGAGCTTTTGATATTATACATGAATGTATAATTGTAACCACTATTATAAACCCTCTGAAAATACAAATTTGTATACAATAGTTGCAATAATTTATATCTAATTTATATTATAAATACGAATGTTTAGATGGATGGATGTTTGTTTAAAGGTATCTCCAAAATGGCTGCACGAATCTGAATAAAATTTGGCATAGAGGTAGAGCATAGTCTGGAAGAACACATAGGCTACTAATTAAGTTGTTTTTTAATACCTCGCGGATGCAGTCGCGGTCGACAGTTAGTTAATCATAAATAAAGTATGATGTTAGATTATTAAAAGTTAAATGTAATTAGTAATCTATGTGTACGTCCAGTCTATGTTCTACATCTATGCCAAATTTCATCGAGATCCGTGTAGCCGTTCTGGAGATACCTTTCAACAAACATCCATCCATCTTGACATTTGCATTTATAATATTAGTAAAATAACATTTACTTTTAACGACTGTCAATTGTTTTTATCAAATATAAACTAAAAAATCTTGATACTTTACAATCCGCACCAAAAAAAGACATTTCAGTAGAGTAAAAAAACTACTGACCTAAGATGGGACCTATTTAAACGCGTACATTTAAGTCTAGAATACACTATAAACCAGATTATAAAAACTAAAATAAACTGTTTACTGGATACAAGTTCGAGTTCACATACCATATATAACTAAGATTAATACGTACCTCATAATGTCACAGTTGATAATGATTTATGACATACAAATATAATTCACAATATTGTATTTAAAAGAAGACCACTTTGGTCCGGTGTCTGTTGAGGAATGATGTGATGCTTCAACTATCAACTATAAACAAGTTTAAAGCTATCAACACATTAGGGTTTGCGCACAGATGTGTGCGAAATACGAAACGTTCCTTATAAAGTTCCATTCGCAAAACAAATGTCGAAAAATATATTATTTCTATGTTTTTTAGGGTTCCGTACCTCATAGGAAAAAAACAGAACCATTATAGGATCACTTGGTTGTTCGTCCGTCTGTCTGTCAAGACCTTTATTCTCAAAAACGCGTGAAGGTATCAAGCTGGAATTCATTCTTATTTTAGAGTACTTTAAAACTATCAAGACCGTTTGTTAACTAAATTTAAGCAATTACTTAAAGATCCCTTACATTATATTTATGTTCTTTACCGTCTTTTTCATTTTATTCATTAATAATGTATATTTCTATAAAATATTTTTTTCATGTCGTAAAATAAACCATCAAATTATTTTTTATATTAGTTAATGGCTAATAGCTGCCTGATATTTTTTGTTCTTCGAATGCAAATTATTGCGAATCGAATGTGTACTGCATAATAATTCGTTCGTATATAGTTGGTCAACATCTTTATAAGCTAGTTATTTTAAACAGGCTTCTTTTGTACGGTAAGGTCATGTATTAAGCGATTTTTTGATATTCAACGGGAATTTTAATTAAAATATGGTAAATCAATAGTATCCTGTTGAGCTACTATAGATGTGAGATTATTTAATTTATAGTCAAATTTAAGCTAACCTTGTAAAGATACTTTCATAAGTTAATATGCTAATGATTTCTTAACTAAGGTGATGCAGCAATCCGTAAGGCCTTGGTCTCTGACAAGTCTCCACCTTCCCCGATCCCGCACAGTCCCAACACAGTCCTGGACATGTAGCTTTTCTTTATATCATAAGGTGGCAAACGAGCGAGCGGCCACCTGAAATGTCTGAAATAGTGAAGTGACCGTTGCCCATAGACATACGCAATTGCATATGCGTTGCCTACCTTTATTCGACGGAGGAGAGGATGCACAGAAAGAAAAAAATTTCCCTTCCCATGCATCCTCTCATGTGGAAAGTCCACTTCCACTTCCTATCCTTTCCTTATAAGAAAAAGGGTGGGAAGGGAAATAGGACTAAATTAGGCCGCACATTCATCAGACGAAACGCGGAATAGCTTCCACTTGACGCCTGTCATCTTAGCTCCCGAAGATCTAATGAACGATTTTTTAGGTCTACATAAATATTATGGTAAAGCTTCTGATTAACTCATTCTTTTTGCTTTCATTTATTGTTGGTTTCCACTGCTAATTCAAGAATGTAAAACTATGTTTTCTCTATGGCATAGACACTAAGATATCTTTTTATTTCAATCTTTCAGCAGTGGACACTTACGGTTATAAACTAGGGAGGTAAAATAAATAAACAATTAATTATTTTCGTATATTTTAACCACTGAAACACATTAAAACCATCCCAAAAATAATCGATTAACTATCAAAATTAAAAATTTGTTTACAATAATCATACAAAATGCGATATAAAATAATACAATAATTGGTATAGAGATTAAAATTGTACAAATAAACCAAATGAATAACAAAATATGTATTATACAATTCAAACTTTATGGCGGCTTAATATTAACTGCCAGCGTGTTCGTAAATTGGGGCTGAATTAAAGCATGTCATCCCTCTCACACTCTTTGTCAAAATAGAGACAACATATGTCAGACAAGTGTCAAGGTCAAATTGTTCGTAACGTCTCACCATAAAGTTTGAATTTAGAACTGCGATCATTTCTTTTTCAAGATAGCGACCAATCTGTCAGCTTCTCTAAACCCGGCTTCAACAGCGCCGTGTACAGCCGAGTGTCTATGGTGGGAAGTGGCCTCTCCCGCGAAGCATACTACGGGGAATTTCCCGCCATGATACAATGGCTCGCTGAGAGTGGCCGCACTCCCGCCCTCCTCCTCAGTGGCGACACTGCGGTAGGAATAGGAACCACGGGCTAACGGATTTGATGCCCATTGCGATCTGAAATTATAAAATGACCATAAGTGTTCTTTCGAAATAATAATTAAGTTTGAATCTTATAATACCTTAAACTCTTCGTGGTTTTCCTTGAAGCATTAATTTAGTTCATTATTTTACTAGACTTATGACGTTTAGATTTATCACCCTTAACTTACGGTAGGCTCCGAGCCCCTCGGTGGAGATGTATACTGAGCTGATGATGATGATGACGTTTAGTAGGCTTATGTCATTCACAGATTCAAAAAAGTTTATTAGATTCAATTCAAAAATGTCATCATACTAATATTATAAATGCGAATGTTTGGATGGATGTTTGCTTTAAGGTATCTCCAGAACGGCTGCATGGATCTCGATGAAATTTGGCATAAATATAGAACATAGCCAGGAAGAGCACATAAATGACTAATTAAGTGTTTTTTTCGTAATGTTTTTCGAAACAAACCTTTTAATCGCTTTAATTGGTGTCACATCGAACTGTTTCTTAAATATTTCCAACAATTTATTGACTCCTGCCTTGACTTGATCTTCACTACATTTCTCCATCACCTCAGCGCCACGGCCGTATATCCAGGCTAGGAGTAAATTAGGCTGGTACTCAACAGTGTTTAATGCACAGATTTCCGTCACCCATTCTTCGTTAGCGAAGTTTCCCTTATCTTCATCTCGCCAGAGAAGGGACAAGCTAGCTGGTGTCTTAGGCCACCATGGTCTAGTAAACTCTATGTATATTTTGTCTAAAACACAAAGTTGGAGTGTGTTGATTGCTGTGACCTTTTCGGTGGGTAATGGCGGATTGAAGAGTTGATTGTGCCTGGAAAAAAAGATACAAGAAATTTTAAAAACTATCAGACTATAGCAAACCAAAAATCCATACTAATGTTATAAATGCGAAAGTATCTCTGTCTGTCTGTCTGTCCTTCTTTCAAGCAAAAACTGCTAAACCGATTTCAATGAAATTTGGTACACCGATAGTCAAGAGCCTAGAAAAGGACTTACGACGTACTTTTTAACGCGAATTTGTGATTTTAATATGTTTTGTCGATATATATATATACATAAGTATTAGTAAAAACAGTAGCCTAAATAATGAAATGCTACCAATAGACAGGATTTCAAGCGGACGAAGTCGCGGACGCAGGTAGTATAGCTATATTTTTTTATATTGAATAAACCAGTGCTTGACCATAAAGCCACTTGATAAATGGATCGAAGAATGGTTTTAAATAAGTTTTGCAGTAATAATTGTTATTGTAATAATAGATTTCCGATAACCTCGCGGCATAATATTTACCGCTTGATTGAGGAAAACTATGGAAGGTACTTGATATTTACATACACGAAGTTTTAAAGAATTTAATTCAATACCAGACAAAGGAATATGACAATTTTAACATAATTTTATTAGTTATGTTTTTATCTTATATATAAAATTCTCGTGTCACAATTTTCGTTCCCATACTCATCCGAAGCGGCTTGACCGATTCTCGTGTAATTTTGTCTGAGAATCGGCCAACATCTATTTTTAATCCCGCGCGGACAGAGTCGCGGGCGACAGCTAGTATCAAAAAAACAATTACACTGTGAACCTGTTACAAAAATCTACCCAAATACAATATTGTTAAAACTTGACTTCACAAATAGATGGCACTAATTATGTTTTAAAACGTGATATCGTTTTACCGTGTAAAATTTTAGTTAAAAAAAAGAAATCTTTGTCCATGGCATAATCAGACAACAGCAACCAATCAAGCCGAGGTTCGGCTCTCTTGGGCACCCTTGAATCGGAATGCTAAACGCGTATTGAGTGACAGCACAAGCCGAGGTCCCCTCTCGGGGTCCCTTGAGCCCCGTCACTCCATGGAGCGTCCACCGAAGCGACCTAAGAGCTCGGCGGCCTCCCAATCCGGTAATAATAACGAAGTAACGGCCCGAGCCGAGGTTCCTAAGGGAGCCCTCCAGCTTAGTTACTCTTAAACGAGGTTATGGTTAAGTGCCATCTGCGCTCGGCCACCTCAAGCCCGGTGAAGCTGTAAATGCCTCCTCAAGGCAAGCAGTGGCAATTCAGTCACAAGAAAAACCTTGTCCATGAATGATTTGTGTTCTATTTAGTAAAAAGAAGTTACCTTTCTTTTAGTACTCCGATAGATAGAGTGACAATGACACTCTTGGCAGCGTAGAGACTGCCGTCTTTACATTTGACGTGCACCAGAGGGTTCTCGGGTTCGAGTCCTTGCTGAGTACTCCGCCATTTAATACTCTCAACCTCTTTCTTCAGCAGTATTTCAACCGGAATTGCTTTTGACGGATCTGGGTATTTGTTCTAAAATAAATTGTAAATTAGCATTATTATTGTGGGTTTCCAGTGCCATTAAAAAAATAAACAAAGAAAAAAATCTGATTCATTCATGACTCATTTCTCAGATATGTGCAGGTTGCATCACGTTGTTTTCCTTTAACGTAAGAACGTTGGATAAATGTACATATGTAAATCGAAAATAAAAAAACACAATGGTACATGGCTGGATTCGAAGCAGATGACTAGTAAAGTGCTTAACCCCTGAGCCACCGACACTCTTAAAATCTGATATGATACAAGTATTATACATAGTAGTCCAATAATTGTGTTTAGAAAAAACGTTATTATAACTAGATTAACAGTTGAGAGTGAAAGCAAATTATCTGAACGGACTCAAGACTTTAAAATAATTCTATAATTTCGCTCATGTATCATTTTAATCTGGTTAACTTACTAATAAAACATCCAGAAGTGTCTTGAAGCCTTTTCCTTTCCAGTTTAACATGAACTCTCCCTCGCAGCCCCAGCACTCCTCAAGGCCTTTGAGAGACTTCCCTTGTCGCGGGTCAGCCTGACCTCCTAAATGGTTGTTCTTCTCAAACCAATCAACGAAGGATTTAGCTAGCTGAGGTTCTTTCTTTAACGTTGCGTTGGTTTTAAGCCTGGAATTAATTAATAGCAATTAATTGTTGTTGAGGGTTAAAAGACTTGAATTTTTTTAACGTCTCTTTAACAACCAGTCTACGAAAGATTTCATATGATTAATCATTGATGCTAAAATCTTTACTAATATGGATGGATGGATATTGTTGGATTCGTGGATGTTTATTTGTTTGAAGGAATCTCCAGAACGGCTGTATAGATCTCGCTGAAATTTTGCATAGATGTAGAATGTAGTCTAGAAGAACACATAGGCTACTTATTAAGTTTTTTTTTAATACTGCACGGACAGAGTCGGGGGTGACAGCTAGTTGTTATTAAATCACCTTCTCCTCTAGAATATTCATTTACGATATTGGTAATAACTTCGATAGTCTAAAATCTAAAGATATAATAATTTAATAAGACTTACGCAGTACGCACACATTCAGCTATGGATTTCTTGCTATTCTTATCAGCTTTACCGACTTCTTGGTTTAAAGCACCTATCAACGTTTCGCTTTTGCCTTCATCTATCAGTTCCCCGTTGGACAGTACGTACAATTTGTGATCCGGTTTAGGTCTTCCCAAGAGACCTAACGGATTAACCAACTCGAAAACAACGTTGTCTTTCTCCCCATGACACCTGGAAAATAAAAAATAAAAATTTTAATGTCACTACTAACTCATAAATAATAACGATATCATCTTACAAATTAAGAATTAAAGATCACAAATCTAAGAAAATAAGTAACAGCCGTTTACACTTTAAAAAAAAATATTTTGCGTCCCGGAGGCCTAATTTAGTTCTCTTTCCCTTCCCACCGTTTTCTTATAAGGAAAGGATGGGAAGTGGAAGTGGACTTTCCGGATGAAAGGATGTATGGAAAGAGAAAATATTTTCTTTCTGTGCATCCTCTCCTCCGTCGATTAAAAGTTGTAATTGCGTAAGTCTATGGGCAACGGTCACTTCACTATTTCAGCGATTTCAGGTGGCCGCTCGCTCGTTTGCCACCTTATGATATAAAAAAAAAATTAAAATCTTGTACTACTAATATTAGAACATCATCTCCTTGCCCCAATCCACTCTACGTGGTATTTGCGGACCATATTTTAGTCCTCCAAGTCGATGTATTCGTCATAGATTAAAAAGAGCTATAATATTTAATCTACGGTCTTTTACATACCAGGCCGCCCCTAAATCCAACGCACACTCCCCGAATTGCACGGTACGTATTCTACCGCCGATCCTGTCATCAGCCTCTAAACCAAGGACCTTGAGACCAGCGTCGTGAAGTCTCCGCAGTGCCGCCAACCCTGACGCACCACATCCTACTACTATTACGTCCATTAGTTGCCTGAAACAAGCGTTACAAAATAAATATATCACTAGCTGTCGCCCACAAGTCCGTCCATGCGGAATAAAAAAAAACTTTATAAGAAGCCTAGGTTCTTCTAGACTATGCTATACATCTTTACCCAATTTCAGCGAGATCTATAAGCCGTTCTGGAGATACCTTCAAATAAACATCTATCCATTCATCCAAACATTCGCAATTATAACATAATAGCGGTCGACCGCGACACCGTCCGCGCGGAACTAAAAAAAACTTAATTTGTAACATATGTGTTCTTCTACATTATAATCTAGAAGAACATGGCAGCATGGATGTAGAATATAATCTACATCCATGCTAAATTTCAGCGGGATCCGTTTAGCCGTTGTGGAGATAGCATCAAACAAACATCCATCCATCCATATTATAAAGATTTGTGTATTCTGCTTACCCTGTCTCAGAGTAGTTACCCTGTCGCTCTAGGATTGTTTGTGTTATAATCAAACACAGCACTTTATTGTTTTTTTAATTTATTTTTGCAATTGTCACAACCGCACTTAAAGAATTCTTGTTTTGATAATAAATATTTTGTGTAAAATATAATGGTTATCTTATCATTTGGCCTGACGTTTGCTAAACGTGTTACAATTATGTTGTAAAAATTACGTAATTATGTAATAAAGTCGCTGTAATAAACTAAAATTATCAAATTTAGGTTTATTTTAAAAATTTACTATTGAAATGTTAAAAATATCATCAATTTTTGACGAATAGGCAATTATCTATTGATTGTATGTCACCGAACGATTACGGAATTTGCCAATTTATTATGTTACTGTTTACTTTTTACTAATATTATAAATGCGAATGTTTGGATGTATTTATGTATGGATGTTTATTAGAAAGCATCTCCAGAACGGGTGCATTTATCCCACTAAAATTTGGCTTAGATGTATAATATATCCCGGAAGAACACATAGACTACCAATTAAGTTTTTTTTTTAAATTCCGAACGGACGTTGTCGACAGCTATTATTATAAGACACCAAGTTTTTTTCGAGAACTATATTATACCTGTTTAATTTATTTTTAGCTGACTTCAAAAAGACGGTTATCAATTTGCGAAATGAAGTAAAGTTCAGCTCCATACCGTAATAAAGTGAAATACAAAATTAGTTCCATATTTTTCTTCTGAATAAAGATAAGACGCTATTCAAAATATGTTACTTGTTGTACGTAATCTGGGACAAGTTTTCTTTTTTTTTGTTTGCATTGATATTTACGATACAAAAGTTTGGATATTTTACTAATATAAATGCGAAAGTTTAGATGGATGTTTGTTAGAACGTATCTCCGGAACCCGCACAAAGTATCTTGATGAAATTGCGTAGATGTAGAACATACATAGTCTGGAAGAACACATAGGTTATGTACGAAAAAATAATCCAAATATTACCCCGTGCCGACCAATCAATGTAATGTCAAAATCTTTTGAAAAATAACGGCCGCCACTCATCCATACATCAAAATTTATCATCAATATAAGCTTTCGGCTGTGACTTTGTATTGAATTAAATAATCAGAGTCTCGTTGCGTCTGGATCTGGATCTGCGCTACGCAGACCTGTCATCTCTATTTTAAATTCAATCGAGATTCGTTCACACGTTCTGGAGTTGAATACTCCAATGATCCAATACAATTATTAATAAGTATTGTCATCTCTTTCATTCTTAAAAGAAAAATAAAGACAACATGTTTATTAGTAAGATAAATAAACTTACGACGTTGTTACTGGTTGTAAATACAATGAGAGGAAATTCAGTGGTCGTCAGACGTGCGACCAATCTTATCCGCGATACGACACTGACCTAGAGTTACGTAATACGACCAATTATACAATGTTTGGATCTCAGTATTATTTCATCATCAATTTATAATGATTATCAATTATCCTCTCGAATAAGATCTGAGATTTTAATTAGGAATAGCGCCACCTATTGGAGACAATCGATAATAAAAATTGGACATCTTAAGAAGAATAAAAGAAATGCGCTCTTTATTCTAGAGTTCTGTAGAAATAAAAAACCAATCTCATTTAAATTTCGTTTGATTGTAACACTGAGGGCTAATGAAAACTCATATTTAATCAACATTACCACCTTTTTTAAATCGGACTAGCTATCGACTGCGAATCAGTCCGCGCGAAATTAAAAAAAAACCTTAATAATTAGGCTATGTGTTCTTCCAGACTATGTTTTACATGTGTGCCAAATATCATAGAAATCTGTTAGGAGTTTCCGGAGATACCTTCAAACAAACATCCATCCATCTAAACAATCGCATTTATAATATTAGTAAGAAGTAAGAGGAAGTAAACGTACATTTAGGGTCTGCTTATATAACGTTTCTAGGTGCTATTAATCTTTTAGAGTAATCGCTTCCCGCAATTTCCATATCAATACAATACGTGAATAATAATAATAACAATCAAGAATTCTAAGAGTAGCGAAGTCAAGATCGTAATAAATCTGAGACATTTGCAGGACAATGTCCGAAGTAATGGAACAAGCACCATCTTTTGTAGGGTGACAATGATAATAATCTATTAAATTAGTATAAGTTTGTAAATAAATTAAAGTCGTAAAAACAATATATAATACTAACTCCAAGTAATATTATTAGAATATCAGCTGTCATTCGCGACTACGTCCGCACGGAATTTAAAAAAAAACATATTTAGTAGGATATGTGCTCTACCAGACTTTTAACATCTATACTAAATTTCAGCGAGGTCCGTGCAGCCGTTCAAACCTTCTACGGAACATCCATCCATCGATCCAAACATTCTTATTTATAATATTAGTAAGATATATATTGAGGGGACATAATAAAGTACAGGATTATCTCAATAAATCACAGTTTTATGGTCACCCTTACTTGGCTGTTGCAGTGACAAGAAGAGCAAGTTACCCGAGAATGTCACCGCGCAAGTCTGTAGTGGAAAAACTAACGCAATGTAAACCAACCCTATACAGGGAAATGTAATTACACTTGTACTTAGCAATTTAATAATAATACTAACCACTTCTATTATAATCAACTTTTTTCCTATATAAATATCTTGATCCTTAACCAGGGCTTTATATAGACAAAACTTTTCCATAAAAACACATTATTAGTTCCATTTTTATGAACAATACTAGCTGTTGCTCGCAACTCCGTCCGCGCTGAATTAAAAAAGCTTAATTAGTAGCCTATGTGTTTTTCCAGAACATGTTCTATATGTATGCTAAATTTCAGCTAGATCCGTTCAGCCGTTCTGGAGATACCTTCAAACAAACATGCATCTAAAAATTCGCATTTATAATATTAGTAAGATTATTTCCCCGACGTATAGCTGATGATGAAAATATCTGAGGGTCTCGGAGTCTACCCTAAGTTAGGGTTACTAGGCCATAATCAATGCCGGCAAAGTGCGGGATGACTTCACACATATCTTTGAATTTCTTCGCAGATATGTGCAGGTTGCATCACCTTCCTTCACCGTATGAACGTCGTATAAATTTACATATGTAAATCGAAACACACATTGGTACATGGCGGGATTCGAACCCAGGACCTGCAGATTACAAGTCAACCTTAACCATTGAGCCAGTAACGCTCTGTAAAAATGATATAACAATATGTGAATGTCTAGGTAGTGAGAACCCATGGTAAACTAAAGATTATCTCAGGATACGCAATCAAGGAATTTAATTCGCTTCCCACTAAAGACAAAATATAACGCAAATTGTCACAATAACAGGATTACTTAGGATTTTTTGATAAAATTCACTGTAATATCAGCATCTCTCTCACCGGGCTAGATATTCTTGTTTGACTACACTTGTACATGTCGCTATGACAAGTTTGTACACCTAATGACATTTCTTTCAAATGGGTAGGAAATTAACATCCCCGACTGTAAACACAACATAGTAATCAAGTGTAGTTCTTCGCACGTTCCTTACAGCTAGCTGTACTCTGATGGCTTAGTTTTTGCTACACAGGTTATTATAGTGTACTTTATACAGCGTTGTAACGACAGGCAACCTTATTCTCATATAACACTTTTTATTATAAACTCTGCATCTACATAAGTATATAAGAGATTACCTAAGCATTTAATATTGTAATGTTTTTAATCTTGCAATGTCAGCAATGTCGAAATGACAAGGGGTATTTTCGTTGTCCTAACTTTTGTATCATTAATATTGCTAACCCTCTCATTTCCTTTGAAAAAAAAAGGAACAACAATAATGTTATGATACAGTTGGATGCTTTTTAATAAAAACATTTTGAACAAAACATGCGATAGAGCTATTTTTAATGTACACAAAATCAATTGTTTTCTATAAAAAGTTGCAATATGAAAAAAAATATTCCCGAAATAATAAGTTACTTTTCAATCAAAGTCCCGTTAAAATCGGAACAGCAGTTTTCGGACATTAGATCCAATTTAATTCTTCTTCTTCTAGCCACGAGTCGCCCACTGCTGGGCGTAGGCCTACCCCAAAGATCGCCACGATGACAGGTCCTGTACTACCTGCATCCAGGACGCTCCCGCAACCCCAGTCTAATTATTTGCATAGATTTATAGATAACTCTATATAAGATAGCCGAAGACAGGACGGCGTGGAGGCAGCTGGTCGACACGGCCGTTGAAGCGTATCAGGACAAGCACGACCTTCAGTAATGAAGGATACGAAGAAGAAGAAGATAGATAACTCTACACTTCCACAACATATAGAGTCGAAGTTGATATTAAGAAACGCTGTATGGATCTTGCTTAAATTTGGCATAGATGTAGAACATAGTTTGAGAGAACACGTAGATTATCGATTATTTTTTTTAATCCCGCACGGACGGAGTGGAAGGCGATAGCTAGTATACTAATAAGATAAAAAGCAAGGGCGCACTTTTTTTCTATTGATTAAACAAAAACTTGTCTCTAACACGCACTGTGTCGCGTGTTCACCTTCCCCCAGATACAGCGCCACCTGTCCAGCAGATGTGGGCACTAAGCGTAGGTTTATACTGCCGGATTATCTTTATACTGGATAGAAATATTGCTATCTCAGGTAATTCAAAGAAATTGAAAGAGTTAACAATATGTGTTTCGCCAATGGAACTCCACGGTAACAAAGATTTTTTTTTTATTGCGAGAATAAAATCTTCACATGAATGAGCAAGTAATAATTAAACCTTTCATGATATACGTACGCATATGTCTAAATTACAATCTTACTAATATTATAAATGCGAATGTTTGGATGAATGGATGGATGGATGTTTGAAGGTATCGCCAGAACGGCTGTATGGATATCGCTGTTGTTTGTTGTTTACTAATTAAGTTTTTTTAATTCCTCGCGCACGGAGTCGCAGCCGATTACTAGTTTTATTATTAAGTAATTTACTATAGGAAATTCTTCACTATTTATTACTGTTGATTTATGTGTAGTAAACCACACACGATGTAAATTACAAAATTAAAGTCGGAACAGTTCATTGTCCTATATTTGCAATCTTATCTAAGCTTGACCCTAACTTCCTTTAAGACGTAGCCCTTAGTAAAGCTTGATAACATGTCTGGTGATATACAAATTGCATCACAACTTTACGAAATATTCCTCGCATTGCGTAACTAATGTAATGAGAACGGCTTTTGTCGAAAAAAAAATACCGTTCAATTTGAATTTGGAATGTAAATTGACGTTCGATTTTCAAAAATTTCTTTCTTTTAACTTTAGGTAAAGAAATCGAAATAGCGGTTGTTCTTTGAATATTCGTCTTTCCCATTTACATTTGCATTTGTTAAGTTGGTATACAAGTTGCTAACGCGTAGTAATTTTATCACAATTGGTCGTTGAACGTAAACAATTTAATGTTAACATTAAATATTTGGTTTAACCAACTTGTCATTGTTTGAATTTGAAGTAAATATAAAAGTTGATTAAATGTCACAATAGACGCATATCAGGTTCATGAATATTTTGAAACTAAACCTGGATGTAATAAGGTGAAGAATGTTTTATTGGGTGTGAAACGAGATGCATCCTAATTCTTCTAATCATCGTTTTATCCGTATACTGGAAATGAAGCGAATATATAAGATTTAAACACTAAGCTTAAAACAGTAACAATAAAAGTGATTGTCTTTGATGATGAGCTGCAAATTCCTTTCCATGTGCACGAGCATATAATTTGATTCGCGTAGTTTGTAAACACTTCGAAAAACAACAACACCCGATTGTAAACAAAATAGTTTGAGAATGATGCACGTACGCATATTGTATGTGGGTGATGTCGGATTTGTTTCCCGGGGTTGATCCTGAGCCCGTGGCATGCAGCTTGCAGTGCGGTGGTGACGGCTGGTGGCGGGTACACCCTGCACCGTGACGTCACCACAGGTAGAGGCGCCGAGGGGGCCGGCGGCAGTCGAGTCGCGCCCGTCGAGCGGAGCGATCGTGTCGCGCACCTGACCGGCCGCATGCCGGAGAACCAGTCGGCGGGATGGCCGCCCACGGCGTGAGCGCCGCGCTATGTTGAAGCATGCGACGCGGCCGCCGGCGGCTAACGATGCCGACCACCGCTACCAAAACATGCCACGGCGGCCGCACCACCACCTGCCGCTCAACGTCTCCACGCTGGACTCCTCCAAGCACTCGGTTGGCGGCACCTCGGCCAGCGTCAGCCCCGGCGCTCAACCCGCGCCTGCGCCGGCGCCGATGCCCGCGCCCTTGCCCGTCGCCTCGCCGCCTAAGCTGGCCAATGGCACCGCGCCGGGTCTGCAGCCGCGCTCGGTGGGCATGAGGAGCCGAAGCTCGCGTGCGGCTACGGAGGAAGCACTAACGTCGCTAGCATTGCTCTGTCTCGTCAGCCTGCTGCTAGCGCTGCTGGCGCTGCTCTTCCTGCTCAAGATCTCGGCGCCGGCGACTAGTGCACCCGAAGAGTTCGCCGTGGTGTACGAAGTGACATTGGCCCTGTGCGCGTTGACTCTGTCGCTGAACTTGTGCTGCCTGCTTGTGTGCGCGATACAGTTCCTGTTCGCGGTGAAGCTGGTGCACTCACCGTCGGCACCCAACGGCCGGTGAGTCCTCTCAGCCTCCACCAGGCCGCAGCCGGCGCAGCTCGCCTCTTATCCGTTAAGAATGCCTGAGAACCGGTTGCGGTGATTACGTGCCGGTGCCGGGTAGATAGTATACGCGCGGCCGCTCGCCGTCGCCGCGGATTTTAAATATTTGTTCGGCTCGCGGCTCGCGGACGGCTGCGAGGCGGGCGCGAGCGCGACATGTTGGGACCGGTGTTATCGCAACCCACATGACGCTGCGAGCCTCGTTTCTTTCGCATTATCTTAAGTTGAGCGGGTGCAGTTTGCCGTTGCTAATGTTAACTTACCATTAACTGTGTTATCACACTTAGCCACGTACCTGCTCTTCAAACATTACAATTGGACTTTTGAAGCTCCAATGACTTAGTGGATTTAAGGCACGTAATTATGGAGTCCTCAATTCGAATTAGGTACTAGATGTTATGATACTACAAACTTCGTCGTAGTTTTCGTCGACAAGCGCGCATCGTAAATCGCGACGCAAAACAATCAATAAACTTAAAAACAATTGCGACAATAATTAGCATATAGTAAGGACAACCGACAAAACCAATAATTCCGACGTTGAGTTAAAACGTCAAAATCTTATTTACTTTCAATAAGAAATCTATTTTGGTGCTTCTTTGTATATTCAGTTGATTAGACGTAGATTTTTTCGGTTGTTTGTACACCCGATACCCGTCCGCACTGGGCAGGTGCTAACGGTCGTCGTTGGCGGTTATTCGTGATGACGATAAAAAGTTCGCCTCCCGCATTCGAACTTTGATAACAAAACCGTTGGCACGAGCCAATATTTACTACATTTATAATTAAATACGCATTTTAAGAATGAATGCGTAAAAGGTGATTAAGAAGGGTGTACCGAATGGATCATAGAAGATAGATCGATCTTGAGGACGACAATTGGTGCGCCAACTCTATGTGAATGGGATAGATTGATGACGCTTTTTAAATAATGAAATGCCTAATACAGTGAAGTTAACATTAATGTTGTAGACAATTAAGGGGCAGCAGCATAACATGCTAACGCTAAGATAAAAGAATTCAAGTAACGACAAGAAGAATAAACTAAAATTCCTCGAAATCCAAAGTTAGTTAAGTTGTAAATTATTTAAGTGAATTTATTATACATCCTTATTTCTATAATTACATATAGTCTTAAATCTATGATATAAAATAAAATATTTAAAAAAAAAACGAATAATTCACTAAAATATGTTATTAAAAGGAGTCCCTTTAGGCAAGGTCAGATACTGGCAGCGTTCCCCCTTTGGGCAGCTAAACTAATTCTTTGACCAAGCTGCCAGCTCTTCGGCCAAAATAGATATAAATTAAGTCATAGCAACGGGAAAATGTAATAGTTAAAAAACGTAATAATCATTTTTTTAATATCTTTTAAAAATCGACTATAATCTGTTAGGTTATAAAAATATATTAATTTACTATATACGTATAATGAGCGTATGCGTTAAAGCATTTTTTATTGCACATAAAAAGTATAGACCACTATATTTATCCTAATTTCCGTAAACATTAAAATTGAAACGTATTTTAAGGTACTAAAATAGGATCGCTTGATGCGAACTTCATGATGATAATTATTCTATTATTCGAGACCAAATTGTATTGTACGGAACTGAATGTTGGGCCACCAAGGTTTCGGATGAAAGAAGATTGCATATAGCTGAAATGCGTATACTAAGATGGATGTGTGGTGTGACAAGGAAGGATAAAGTTAAAAATGTGTATATTAGACGAAGTTTGAAAGTAGCGCCAGTGATCGAGAAATTGAGGAGTAAAAGATTAGCGTGGTTTGGACATGTTATGAGGAGGGATGATGATGATACAAGCAAAAAAGTAATGAGATTGAATGTGGATGGCCAAGGGTAGGGGAAGACCAAAAAAAGTATGGAATGACTGTGTGAAAGAGGATATGCGTAAGAAGGGGGTAGACTCGAATATGACGGCTGATGAGATGTATGGAGGAGTTCATACTGTGCCGACCCTCGATAAGGATAAGGGCAGGTTGATGATGATGATGATGAGACCAAATTGATTCAGATTCAATTCCTGGGCTCCACGAAAGGTGACAAGCCCGAAATTGGCGACGAGCGGTGGAATGTTATCAAAAGAATAGTCACAATACAGCGACGCGAGAAGATGCCAAGTGGTACTATTGTTTACATCTATTCACCAAAACCAGTTAAGTTTTGAACACGGCCTACTAGAAAAAATTCAAGCTCTGTTTTAGGCTGAAAGTTATAATGGTAGATAATGATAATACGTAAACATAAATCTTTATTCTTAAACTAAGGGATACGCTTGGAATTCAGTGGTGAAACCGAATACCTTGATCGCTCGGACATCTGGCGAAGAATTTCTTTTTATTTTCATTCGCGTCAGTAGTGAGATGATTTGGTATATTATTTTATAGCATGTAAAACATAAACTAATTAGCTTTCACGCCTTGTTATTGCCTTCAATTTCACAATACTATTTAAAATAATAGATGTATTGATAACCTGCGTCTTTTGGTAGTCTGTTGAAAAAATCTAATTAAGCAATCTTACTTCTTACTTATATTATAAATGCGAATGTTTAGATGGATCGATGGATGTTTGTTTGTTTGTAGGTATCTGCAAAACGGCTAAACGTATCTCGAAGAAATTTGGCATACATATAGAATATTATCTGGAAGAACCCATAGGTAACAAATTATGTTTTTTTTTAATTCCGCGCGGACGGAGTTGCGGGCGACAGCTTGGTAAGGTAAGAATAAAAAGAGTCTAAAATGGTGGCCAATGAATCAATGTATTTGTTTAACTAGGACGTTGTTAAGAATCAGTGTTTCAATATAATAATAGACATCTCTCGTGTCTAAATTAGAGTAATAAGTAGTAATTTCATCTTTAAATATGTAGTTACTTTTACAGTACAAAGATAAAATACGTTTCAACTAGGTGTGTCTTCAATCCATTCTAAATTCCATTACGCAAAACACATGTGTTTAGTGCAGTAAATGACAGTTTGCGAACTCCATAGATATTGCATCTATGGTTTCCTGTGTCTGTGGATCGTGTCTATGGTCTGCTCTAGTGCTCCGGGCGGAATGTGGCAACGCAAATACCTATGGAGCCAACGCGGAAGGCAGGCCCGCACCGGTATTTTGTCTTACAATGTGCCAATAGCAATGAACTTTAATGCCCCGTATCTATACTTCTAATATTATAAATGCGAAAGTTTAGATGGATGGATGTTAGAAGATATCTTCAGAACGGCTGCAGGGATCACGATCAGACTTGGCATAGATGTAGACCATAGTCTGGAAAAACAGGCTACTAACTTTTTAAATTCCGCGCGAACGGAGTTGCTGGCGACAGCTACAAAATAATAATTACTCTATGATAACATGCAATACGCTCTCACTAACAAGTTAAAGCCACTTTTATGACCAAGACGTTTATTAATACTTGCATATTTAATATGAAACAACCATTAATTGACTCCTTAGTATCCCGTTGAGTGACAGACTTGATTAAAAATTGAATTTAATAAATACTGCAATAACTGAACCGTCTAAGTATATGAAAGACTAGCTGTCGCTCGCGTCACTGTACGTGCGAAATTAAAATAAAACTTAATTAGTAGCCTATCTGTTTTGCCATATGTTCTGCATCTATTTCAAATACTAGAAACTTTTACTCGTTCTGCAGATACCTTTTAAGAAACGGCAATCCATCCATCAAAATAATCTCACTGTTAGCATCTGTGCTTTGTGTACTTTGTTTGTTTTAAATTACGTGCGGACGGAGTCGCGGGCGACAGTTGTATATAAAGCGACTAATTTTCGTTGTAATTATATCTATCTCGTGTTATATCTATACATTGTTTACTGTTAGCCATGCCATGATATGAACAGTAGTATTAAAGATTGTGACCTTAGTGAAACTCGTTCAAGTCTAGAACGACAATGGCAAGGACAGGTGATACAGTTGAGTACTAAAATGCGGTTAGCGATAATAAAAAAGTAGTCATGTTATATTGGACGTTACATAAAATATTGAGGTAACTGGCCGTGTTATACGCAATGTATTTTGTTAAAGATTTATCTTACTAATATTATTATTAAATAAATGCGAATGTTTAAATGAATGGATGTTTGTTACTACGTATCTCCAGAACGGAACATAGTCTGAAAGTATACATAGGCTATTAATTAGATTTTTTTAATTCCGCGCGGACGGAGTCGCTGGCGAAAGTTAGTTTCTGAATAAATGAAAAGTAATTATCCTTTTTCTAATTAATATTGACAAGGAATCTGATACATAGGGTTGCCACCTTTTCGTACGTCGCCCTTTTTAAGCAGAAATTATTCTTAACACAACAGATTTAAAGCAAAGATTATACTGTTTGAAATTGTATTAGTTGCCAGTACACAAACATAATTAAATTACATTCACGCAAATTACGTCACATAGATCCGTGTTCTTAAGTTATTTGACGGTGTTGTGTGAATCTTAAAAATACGTGTATTGTCTACGCGTGGGGAATACGAAGTCTGAAATGTGTACAATGCGAGCATGCATCTTGCACTGCAAGTAGGTAAACCAAAAATAACAGCGGTTATTAATAGGGTTGCCACATTTTTATAATTTGAAAGACTTTTACTTGTTATTAATATTTAAATAGTGTAGTTTGCACTGAAAACCTTTTTTTCGATAGTTGGTTAAAAAGTAAAAGTGTTATCGTACGATAGGGAAGACAAGTATACAGAAATTTAATCTTATTTGTATGGATGTACTGGATCTTTTGGTGGATTGATAGGTGTTGGACATAAGAATTTCTCTCTCTCGCTGTCTCTCTAGGCGCCTCTCCAGTAATGAAGGTTGGTCAACTCAGTGAACTTTTGCTGGTCTTGTGACAAGCAAAATGAATGCCGCACGCTGGCATTCGTCCGCTCCTAGATACTACTTCTTTAT